TCTAAGAAAAGTACTTTTGCATCTTCATCCTTAATACACTTCACTTGAACTAAATCCTTACTATTCTCATCTCTTTGTTTGGCTAACTTATACATATTTTTTTCCTTCCTTAGTATCTAATTTATTATATAAATTATTAAAAGATAATATCTTTACATCTCATATTGCTTTCCTAGATTCCTTATGTGCCTCTTTATATCTTTCTCAATTATCAAAATTTTTACATCTAAACTAATTTTTATAACAAATCTATTTTTTATCTTTTCTTATATATTTGGATTCCACCACCAACCATTTTTATTATTAAGATCCTTTTTCTTTAATCCTTCAAGCACATCTTTTGTAATATTCTTAATATCTCTAGCCACTTTTTTCCATTATAGCATTAGCATCCTCATGCACAGGTAAAATCTTACGATCTAAAATCATATTCTCAAAAATATTTTTGTTAATTTTTTTTAAATGCCCTCATATAATCCCAGATCATCATTTTACTTTATTTAATATTTTATGCCCATTTATCTTAAAGTTCAAAACTAATAATTGATGTTGGGTACATAACTTTTTACTCGTAATAACTTTACAATCTTTGCAATCTAAAAAATCTAATTTTCTTATAAGAAAATAATCAATTTATGTTTTACTATATATATTTTTATAAGTGATGAAATGCTCATCTCTTTTCTTAAATAAATTATTAGCAATTAAAAAATCATAAGCTAAAGAAAATTTTAATATGGTCTTAATACCTTCATTTGTCATTCCAAACTCATGGCCACCATGAATGCTTTTAAAATGATTTTCATCTCTACCAGCATGTCCATTTAAATCTCCTCCAATAAAAATTATTTCTTCAAGAGCTATCTTTTGTATTAATTCTTTTAAATCATTCTAAAAATTTAATGTTGAACTCATATCCAAACCTACTTGAGGAGCATAAGCACTTATAATATTAACTATCTTAGCATTAATAATAATCTTTAACGCTATAATTCTATTTCAAATTCTATTAATTTTTATAATATTATCCTTCAAACTATTATCTATAATCACACCTACATCATTTCTAGTACGACTCTTACACGAATACTATAGTTTAAAACCTAAATTACCAACCTTTTTAGCCTTCTCTCAAACTTATTTAGTTTCCTAAATGCACATAATATTTATCTTCCTATGAATCATGATATCTATTAATTCCATTAATTTTCATGTAAGGGAACCTATATTCCAAGTTTATATCCTAAATTTAGTTTCATAGACTACTTTGCCCATATCCATCATTTATGTGGGAAGCCTTACCTATTTAACACTGCACCCAGGCGTCGGTGTAGCAGCCCTTAAACACTTATCATTATATTCAAAACATAAAGCGTGTTTCTTCCAGGGTGCACCCTATCATTATCATAATTTTTTAAAGGATTCATGTCATGATTATTCGAAAAGTTTTACGCTAGCTATCGCCTACCTAAGATAACCCTTCACTTTTCTCATCCATGACTTGGGACCTGGCAATGGTAGTGTTAAGGTCTTGGGTTTACCAATAAGGTTGAACCAAGTTATAAAAATGTGGTTTTATTGATCTAAATCACTAAACTTATAAAAATAAATTTTGAAATTTGTTGTAGTATATGTGTGTTAATCCTATGCACACACCTAGAGAGTTTGAACCCATTATTTGACCTGGTTTAAAAGTATGGGTTGAACCAAACACTCCAAAACCCATGATTTTTTACCCTAGACCAACAGCCCAATTTGAACCCAACCAATGATTTCAATAGGCTCTAGAACCTTTCCTCTACAACCCACATCATCAGCTACTAATGTGGCAAGATTTACTAAAATAACCTCTCACCAATTATTGGTTCAACCATAACTTCCCAAATAACAACCCATGTGCTTTCAACCTCTCCAAAACCTTCCCTTAGATCACATTAGTTAGACATTAATTGAAATGGCTATTGGACTGGGCTTTGGTGATAATATCTAGGCACTCTATTCTATTTTATATCTCCTATAAATGCCTTCACTTTCCAAGGGTTTGAGGATGATCAACTAATTCCTCAACTCTATAAAAAGTACCCTAGCTCTCCCATAGTCTTCTACAGTCCCCTCTAGTTCAAGACAACCCTAACCCAGTAAGAGAGAGAAAGGAGATTTGAAACCTATCTTTTGATCTTGTGAGAATCAGCTCTTTGAGCCTTTTAGAAACTTGAAGAGAATCCTTCAAGCTTTGAAACTGGCCTAAGATCAATAAAATCCACTCACATGTTATATGATATCTTAATTTAAAGTTTAAATTTCTAATTATAATTTCTCCTAGATCCCAATGCATGGAGCTATAAAACTCCACGGATTGCAAAATTAGGATGCCACAATCCTATGTTTCAAATTTCATCAAATTTGGATGGTTGGATCAAAAGTTATAATCCTTTGAAATTTTAGTTGAGGAAAATATGTGGTAATTTTACTTTCTAAGGGTCTGACACTGAACAAAAATATATTACAAGATAAGATTAAGCTAAATTAAGCTTTGGCTAAATAATAAGCTAAATTAAGTCGTACTTATAATACCATTCTATCTCATAAAATCTCAATGTTTGCGTGTAGAACTTTAAATAGCTCAAGTCTGATATGGGTATTCAACATCAGAGATATTGGATGTATAATAGATTTTTGCTTGGATGTAAAATATTAATAGATGAATTCATTAACAGATTGAATTATTTCATCAAGGCGGCCTATCAACTACCTTGTTTTATATCAGATGGGAGGTTTCATTATCCATGTTCAAAGCACAAAATTTAAGTGTACCTCACACCACATGAGATTACTCTTGATCTATATCATAGAGGATTCATGACAATATACTGGTATTATACTTCACATGGTGAGTACGTGTCGCATTTCGACTTTTAATGTGGCCTGTCAACAAGTTCCAACATAGTTGAGGATAAAAATATTAAGATGCGGGAAGAATTGGTTTATAATGCAACTAGACCATAATTTTAATAATATTTACTTGCCCATTATTCTCATATTACAATGTTTATATGCATCATGAGCTTTATTGCACATATGCGATGACATAACGAACACATCTTGCAAAAAAGTGTTTTAACCCAACCATCAAAACCAAAGGCTTGTTAGCACTTTGGTCATTCACATACTACCTTTGTTGTAGAACTAAGAAATGTAAGACTAGGTTTATACACGAATGATTTTACTCCATTTAGCCAATCTGGTTCACCTTCACTCCTGGTGGCCATGATACTCCCCCCTTACAGTCTTCCTCCAAAATTGTGTATGTGGTTCACCTTCACTCCTGGTGGCCATGATACTCCCCCCTTACAGTCTTCCTCCAAAATTGTGTATGTTAACACTCTACATGTTTCTAATACTTATCATTCCAAGTCCATATAATCCAAAAGCAAAAATTATATGTGTTCTTATAACCTTTGACCGATGACTTAAAATTTCTATGGGAATCATACCAATTCCTATATTATAATATCTACCACAAATTTAACGATTAATATTTGGAATATATGAAATTTAGTGATAATAAAAAATAGTCAAAAGTTATCATTTAGCTTAAGTGAAAAAATAAAAGCAGAAGATAATGCACAAACTAAATAAACAAAAAAAAAATTACTAGAATTGTCAAAGTGGATTTTAGAGTTGGTCTCTAGTCCAAACCAAAGTTGATCCAGTTTGAATCTTTCAAACCCGTACTTGACTAATTTATTAAACATGCCAAAATTCTAGACCCAAACCCAACCTGCTGGTTACATCTTAAAAAATAGGTGAAATGTTGTAACATAGATTGCACTTTCAAAGATGAGGATAATTATGTGAAATGCAAATGTAACACGGTTGCACATTCAAAGATGAAATATTGCTATAACACAGATCATACAGACTAGCTTTCACAACATTTAGGTTCTAGCCAAACATTAAAATCAAAATCCCAAAAGTTTCTTTAAAATATCAACGCCATCCATGGCTTTTAGGTTTATCATTTTTCCCATCATCAACCGGGTAAGTACTATTAATGGAGAGTAGGAGAGGAGTCGTTGACAGGCCTATGACCAAGAGGTTTGAGTCATCTACCGACGACAATACGGTAAGTCCCAAGGACAAGGAAGCAACGCCAAAAAAAATAATGGATGCGTCACATGCATGTTTTTTATTTCTACAACAATAAAACAAGCCCCAACACCATTTAATCGAACGAAGGAATACCAGTTGGTTTTGGGTAGCTTTCAATTGGCACGTTGACTCGAAGCCAACCCGGTATTAAAATTAAGTCGAATAACTAAATCAAACTTGTCCCATTTGCTTAATGGGTGGGTTAACCCGAACATAAAAGGGGAAGGGGGGGGGGGGTTAATTTCAAGGCAAAATTTTTAAGGTATGTCAAATATTTGCACTAGTGAAAAATTCTCAGTCATGTGAGCTTCAACTTCAGCAAAAGATGCAGTACTTTGTGCGTACATTTGTGGTCAAGTTTACTCAAATTATAATATATTTTTATAATTAAATTCACTTGAAATTCTTAAATGAAATGGAGCACTAAAGCTTTGCCTAGGTGTGCCTGCTAAGAAACCTATACATTATATAGTTTTTTTAGGAATTCTTTGACAGAAGCTTTAGTGTGCCTGTATACACATATATATGGGGTGCAATTTATGATTTTAACTCAAATAAAATTTATTGAAAATATAATCATTACAATATATCATTATTCTTAAATTTATAAACAAAACAGGATATGCAATTATCTATAATTAATTTAATTAATATTTAACCATCACATCTTCAACATTATCTTTTTTAGATTATAATTCATTGTATACTACCACCGTTAAATTTAAATATCACACGTTATTTGAATATAATATTAACTATTTTAATTATAATTTAACAATCATTTAAGTAGGCCATTATTTTTATTATTATTATATATCGATAATAAAAAAACAGTATAGATAATTTTCTAACAAACAATAACATATAAAAAATATATATTGTTGAAATTATGGAATAAATTCAGTAGATTCGTACAACATAGTCTTGCAGTCCTCATACTCACTATGAACATGCAATTTAGGACAACCACAACTTGTGCATTTCATGCAGTTGACTAAAAGTAGAAGATTTCAGGGAAATGCGATACATCTCCTTCAGTTTTCCATTATCCCAAACGCTAGCAGCAGCGGGCGCTGGCAAGCTTGCCCCACCAGTTTTGTTGCGTCCACCAGAGAGAGAAGAAGATAGCATTTTCTTCAACAAAAATTGCAACTTATTCCAGAATTTTGATTTCATCTGTGAATCCTTGTCAATTTCACAATCTTTGCCTCTCTCTACTATTTGTCGGCCATCAAGTAGGGTAAGTAGGGCAGCTTCCAGCATCTGCAGAAGAAATGAAAATAGAAGAGATGATTGTAGCCACATTTCTGTTAATCTGGGGATCAAATATATGATCACTTAACTAAATTCTGAAGGCTAACACTAGACCCATATCAAACGATGAAAAAAGGTAAATTTTCTATGTTATAGGTAAATTTACTATATTATCATCATTGTAGTTGAGAATTGTAAAGCATTTGAAAGGTATATGAGTCGATTCAATAACTAAAGCAAATGGAATAGCATAGTCACTAGGAGGTAAAGATGAACATGGATGCAGAAACAATAACAACTCAGAAAAGAAAGAACAACACACAAATAAATGCAGAATTTAAAGCAATATATCATGTAATCTACTATATACAAGATATATGAATTATGTCCAAGTATTAATGAGCATCCCTACATACAAATCCTAAAAAAAAAATAAGATTAATTTTTTTTTAATCTTGATGACTTTTCCTTCTCAAAGCCTCCTAGTCCACAACTACGGGAGCAAACATTATCAACATTGATCAATTGATTCTCCTTATTGTGATACCACGTGCCACAAAGAGTCCACTCTAGGCTGGGCGAATGAGCATTTCCTCATATTGGCAAACAAGTAGTGGTCCCATAGAGTGGATACCACCAATCCTAAGTGTTTTAAGTGCTCCTCCTCAGTCCCGCTGTAAATCAAAATATCATCAAATAAGACTAACACAAACCTCAGAAGATATGGTTAAAATACCTTGTTCATTAGGGGCTGGAAAGTAACTGGAGCATTAGTGAGGCCAAAAGGCATCACTAAAAACTCATAGTATCCCTTATGAGTCCTAAATGCCATCTTGGGAACATCCTTGGGACTCATCCGGATCTGATGGTACCCTGACTTTAAATCAATCTTCGAGAAAAGTAACGCTTCATAAAGCTCATCCAGCAACTCATAAATCACTGGAATGGAAAATTTGTCTGGCATAGTCTCCTTGTTCAACGCTTAGTAGTCCATGCAAACCTTCAACTACCATATTTCGTTTTTAGTAATAGCACTGAATTGAAAAATGGACTGATAGAGGGTCAATGATCATTGCCTCCAACATCTCCTTGATAAATATCGTGATCTCATCCTTCTGGATTTGAGGATAACGGTACACAGACGAACACTGATAAGTGAAACTCTTTCCTTAAAGATGATAACATACTCATGTTCCAGATGAAGTAATCCCTGAACTGGCTAGAATACCTCTCGATACTGTTGTAGGAGTGGTTGAACCAGGTCAGGTGGTTTTATCTTCTCCACATCCTCTTATCCTTCAAAACTCTACAACTCCACCAAAAATCCCACTCCTTCAACTTGGATTTCTCTCACAATAGTTTTTAGTGAAACAATAGTTTTGAACAGGTTAAATGTCATGCCCCGAGATCTAAAGTGGAAGGATTTCTATTCTTTTATTTATTTATCTTTTCAAACCATTTTATTCATTTCTTTTTTCTTTTTTTTTTTCAATTAATAACCAATGCTCAGTCATTTATGACCAAATCAATTTGACATCTAGAGTTGATTAATTGCATTACAAGAAATAAATAAATAGTGAAAATAATAATTCATATTATTATAGCCCATAATTATATCATCATGTCAATAGAGTCCAAAACAATATATATAGTAGCCTTCATGAACTATAAAAAGAATATACATAAACTAGAAGAAATGAAAGAAAACTAAAACATCATTACAGCTAAGCCTCAATCCATAGGCTTAATACTTTTATCTAAAATCATGTAAAACCATGTAATAAGCATGAAAATCTAGCAACTAAAAACTTACAACTTAAATCAATGCAAAAAAATTAGAAACAATATGATGTTAATCATATAACGAAATATATGAATTAATATATGTTATATGTACTGATCACCTATATCAATCAATCATTATGTCCTTATCATACAGTCAATTTTATTTAGTCATATCATTCAATTATTTTTATCAGTCTATTAGTTAAACGAAGGCCTCCCGATGACCCGGTTAGAAAAGTTGAGGTATTAGATTTGACTTATGTTAAGAAAGGTAGAGGTAGACCTAAAAAGACTTGGTTAGAAAATATTAGAAATGATCTTTCTTTATTAGATTTAAACGAGAATTTGACTTTTAACCAGACACAATGGAAAAAAAGGATTCATGTAGCCGACCCCACTTAGTGGGACAAAGGCTTGATGTTGTTGTTGTTGTATTCGTAGTCAATAATGGTAAGCAATAATAGTAACAATGAATCAGTAACAGTATCCATCAATAATAGGTTAGTAATAGAAACAGTAAAACAGTACAATAATAGTGAAAATACAATCAGTGCAATAATATATCATTAAGGTATCAGTACAATAATATATCATTAAGGTATTAGTACGATCATCCGTACTCTTATCATTGAGTTATAAATACAATCATCCGTACTCTTATCGTTGAGTATCAGTACGATCATCCGTACTCTTATCGTTGAGGGAATAATATAATCATATATACTCTTATCATTAAGGTATCAGTACGATCATCCATACTTTTACCGTTGATCTGATATCGATCAGTACATTATTCTATCATATTAATCATAATCATTTAAGTAAATCAATTTTATACATATTAATCACTCTAATTATTTCATCTCCTATAACATTTAAGTATTATCATGTAAAATCACTCTATGTTATTTTTCAACCCATTTCAATATTTATTTTCTCTGCACATTTTACCCAGAAATTCCTATTCACATTTAATTGATGAAAATGCAATAAAATAATATCATATTATTTAAAATGATCAAATCTATAACATATCAAAAGTTATACGATGAAAGCTTACAAAATTAAGGGAATGCATTTTTGGCAAATTTATGAGATAAAATTCGTAGAAATCAAAGATAAAAGGATAATTACTTACAATGAATAGAACAATCTTCGTAAAAGGAACAGAAGACGAAAAGGCCCTAACAAACTTTCTCCCTCCTCTTCTCTTCTTCCTCTCCCATCTCCTTAGGTTTCTTCCAGGCCAAGGCACGAGCGAGGGAGATGGTGGGGGTAATGGCATAAATGATTTGGAATTAAATATATGAAAAAATAATTTTAGCGGTCTAGCGCCGCCGTGTTGCATGTTGAATCAAGAGTTATTGAAGAACAAAGACTCAAAAGTTGTAGCGGCATTTTCTAGCACCATTGTGCTCTCAAGCATAGCGTCGTAGTGCTCACAAGCACAACACCGAAGTGCTCTAATTCAAACAAAAATTTGAAAATTCATATTTTAAAATACTTTTTATTTTTTGGTTGTAACAGTAGGATCCCCTCTAATAATCACTTTCCTCTTCTCAACCTTGAAACTCCATCATTATAGCCTTCCAATCAATCTTGATCTTCCCCAACTTCTATAACCACTTCATCCCCAATATCACATCTATGCTCCCCAAATCTAATGATTAAAATTCTTCTCATGCTGAATCTCTGGAAGGATTAGGATCACACCTTTGAAAATTCCTCCACTCTCTAATTTTTGTATTCCCAGCATAACCTCAAAACCCCCCATATCCATTAATTTCAATCCCAACTGATCTAGTATCTTGTTAAAAATAAAGTGGTGGGTAGCTCCACTATACACCAATACTACCACCTCATAATGCCTGATCTTCCCCTTAACCTTCATGGTGTGGTTGGGTGTGTGAACCCCACTGAGTTAAAGGATACCTCTGCAACATCTAAGACTAGGTGATCATCTTCCTCCTCTACTTCCTCTTTTGTAGCATCTTCCTCCTCATCGCAGGCTCTTAAGACCAACAAACAATGAATGGTTCTTACAATAGTGACCTAGAGCGAACTGCTCATCACACCTAAAGCAAAAAACTCTTGGCTCTCTTCTCCTAATTTTTTGACTCAGTCAACCTCTTGAAGTTACCCACTGGTCGTACTCCCTGACCTCTATCCCTCGGGGCTTCCTTCTATACAGGCACCATATGCAACTTTAATGCCAGAAATGTAGTGGACATGCAGTAGAAGACTCTCGAATTGCTTCTACGACTACTCTCCAAGGGGTTCTTATCCTCCACCACCTGGGCTAACTCTATAGCCTCTCCTAAGCCACGTGGTCTCAGGTACTCGAACAACTGCTCGAATATAAGGCTTGAGCCCCTTCATAAAGTTCTCCCTCTAGCACTATCTGTGTCAACCTTCCCAATCAACTTGAGAAGTACTAGAACTTCTCCCAGTACTCTATCACCATCCCCTCATGCACCAAAGAAAAGAAATATTCGTATAAGTCTCCTTCCCGACTAGTTCTGAAAAAATCTACTAAATAATCTTTAAACTCCGTCCATAACAAGATCGAATCTCACAAGTCTCTCCACTAGTACCAAGATAGAGCCTTCCATTTCAAACATAGAGCGTCTGCAATTAGTTTTTCATCTTTTGTCAACCTGTTTAAAGCAAAATATCGCTCCACCCTGTAAATTCACCCGTGAGCATTTTCTCCCTCAAAAAACCGACATCTTCAACTTTCTAACCCTAGAATCGCCACCGCCCCCAACATCTTCATCCTCCTCCAATGTAGCGGATGTTGAGATCCCTCCACGTTTCCATCTCCCCCAAATCAACTTTCCAATCTTCATGATCCCAATTTCTTCATCGGCTATACCCTTCATCTATTCCCCTCAGAATTGGCTTCAAAGGTGGCATCTCCTCTTCTTCCCACAATATTTCCACTACCCTATACTCCCTCATCATCCCTACATTAGGGTTTCCCCCACTTCCTTATTCGGTCAACGATGCTCCTACCTCTGATAAAGTTATTTTGGCTTGAAACACTAACATCCTTTTCATCATCTCTTCCAAATTTAAAAATCTACCCTCAATTGCTAAAATTCACTCTCCAAATTCAAATTTCAGATTTAGAACTTCCCCATCAAGCCTATCCTTCAACACATCAACCTTCTTAACCGTCATAGGTCCCAAAAAAGGTGCTTTAATAATAATATGGTAAGAAT